TCCTTTGTAAGGCGATGGTACGCCAGGCACAGAAAATAAACAGAGATCCTCTGAAATCAAGCATATTTCTTGCAGAAAATTCTATCTAAAGATAGTTAAAAAACGTTCTACAGGAAATGATGTATTGTGATGAGCTGATATCCACTTGACTTCTGACTAATCTTTTGTAGAGCTCATTCTACATAGGTCTCTATAATGACCTCCTTAGGGTGGATCAACAGGGTTGGATTCCTTTGACACGATACTGTGGCCATCTGTTCAAGATTCGAATGCATTCAGTGAACTACTTCGAACAGTTTTCGTCCATGAACCGGCATTTCTTTGCTACATTTCAAGAAACAGGGCGGAATTATATGAACTCTCTTAAGTATTTATTAGGTTTAACAGTTCCCATGTAGCCAAGTGGTTTAAGGGATTCGTACACACGTTAACGATGCTAACTTTTGGCATATCAGTCGGCAGACCAAAACGATTTCCTACAGAATTTCGGTCATAATGTGACCCCCTATTCGAAACCCTACTAGTGTATGGTTCTTAGTGGAACACTTGGATGAATCAACCAGGTATGATGCAACAGACATCCATAAGTTTGCCACTATTGCGTTAGTGCCAAAAAATCAAGGCGATGGCTTCACCTAAGCTAGAGCTTGCAGCGTTCTTTCACTCGCGGTCGGAAGCATTTTCGCTGGGATTCAAGTTTGTCTATGGTTTCTACAACGATATATGACGCACTTTCCAGATGGATCTATTCAACGACCGTAGGCAGTGGAAAACTTTTCACCAATCTGGATATAACTTACTATCTGGCATCTCTTTCCCTAGTTGGATGTTANCTAGTTGGATTTACGCAACACTTCCGCGTTTCAACTCTGTGACATATAAACCGTTCGGTTTACCCGGATTAAACTTGTTCTTCTATAAAAAAAGGTTTGGGTGTGTTAACTCCGGAGTGCAAGAATGCACCTCATGCCATTCATTTCCGGCTGTCTGTTTTTAGAAATGTACTAGGTTGAAAATACATTCATGATTTCTTACAGAAGACAGTAAAGAAACCTATGATTAAAAAAACCTTGAGGAAGGTGATAACAAAACTAGCCAGTTGACTGTATTATTAAATAGAATCTTGCTATGGAAGCCGCACATTGAATCCAATGTATATGCAGCTGCCATTTCTTTGTTCAACCTTAAAACAACACACCAGTTTCTAACTCAAGATCTATGAGGTTGGACCAATCACTGTCCCATCATAACTGACGTGCAGCAAGCAGGTTCCCTGTGAGACTAGAATGGTTTCACTAATGACTGTTCAAGAGAACAGGTTTTTGGTACCACGCGACTGCCTTCCACATAGAGATTCTTCCGGTTGGTCCACTCATGTCTAACACAATAGCCAAATCGAAATTTAGTAAAATAACGTTTTTTACTTATTTGTTCGTGTGCATCCTACCTAGCCTTGAATGTGTAGGAGGAGGTTTCAGCAACCATGTGGATAGTATATTCTTTGGGAGTTGGCTAACTGTGCTGTGAAGGAAGACTGATGGCAGCAACATATCTTCTTGGTATGACGATACTCCTGGAGAGCCAGCAACCATCTCTGGGGTTAACCGAGTAGGCCTGGTCCCTAGATTTCCAACAATCATTCTCCGCCATTGGCCACTATTCATTCGAGAAATCACAAAAGAGGGATCCACTTGGGGACCAGTTGACTCTCACGGTAACATCAACTCAATCCATAGTTGAGTGTTTCTAGGTCAACAGTTTGAATTTAGGTACGAAGTAGATCTAATGTGGACTCCGGGACACAACCATGAAAGGGCTAAAAAGTAGCAGCCGGCTATCCATAGGGTCTTAAGTAACTGTACAAATGATGTCAGATTAAGAAAATTACTTCGATGTCTCGAATATCGCTTCAAGCGAAATATGACTTGGTCTCTGCACACCATGTTCGATTGAAGAATATAACCACCACCACGAACCATTAAATAAGATATAAATATTGCTAATAATGATGTTAATATTAGTAAGAAAACCCCATCATAACTCACTTATGGGTGTTATTCAGCCCCAACATATATTATAATATTTCATCCGAGTGTATGCTTTCCGCATTCGTGTGGGAGATCGGGTGAGCTGGTCTGGTTAGTCAGGCAACCAACGAATTTGGGTCATCAATTTCGACGGGGACTTCACTGGTAGTGTGTTAAGCAGCAAGCAAAAGACTGTCACCGGCTGATAGGTCTACCTACGGTAGTAATTATGGATGAACTACATATCGAAGCAGCCTACTCATAAGGTTGCTGAAGGCTCTTCGGCAGCCCCCGACCGGTTTCACCCTTGTTGAAGCTCATCAAATGGGCACAGCCCTGAAGTTTTCCGTCAACCTCATGTTCTACTTGAACCAAAATTGGACAGATGTTAACAGATACACTGAGGTGTACCGACCACCAATGTGCACGAATATTAGATAGGCGAGGCATTCACTATGGATGAAATAAAACGTTCTAACCCCTTCTCAAGACAGCCGTTCAATCAACCCACTGTTCGGTGCGGATAATGTTAGTTAAAGATTTGAGATCCTTCTTTCAGCGGGAAACACAATCGAAAGATGGATCTCAAAAACAGAATCTATAGTGTCAATAAATATGCTTCAAAGTGAGATCTGCTAGATTTCTGACTAAAGTGAGGCCTACCGATTTGGTGCTGCCTGTCCTAAATGATAGATGTCTGATCTCATTCATGACGGGCCGTTACGAAAGTCGTCGTCATTACCATCATCATCCTCAACATTATCAGCACGACCAACGAAGAGGTCATCTTGTCTCCTGCTTCACTTTATGAGGCTGATGGCAGAAGCCTTTTATTTAATGAATTTTCCTAATGTATTTCTTGTTCACCCCGAGTTACAGGAAAGAAATACAAGAGAGAGATTAATCTGTTCAAACAGTAGGAGTAAGACAATACACTGCTGGACATACGACTTCCAAATAAGAGACACTACACAATGTGCACTGCAGTCAGTCAGTGGGTCACATCATGAGTTATTTGAACGACTGTGCACTGGGCGAGATGTCTCAGTGGTTAGAGCTCGAATTTACTGACTGGAATGTTCGTGTTTCGAACCTCTGCCTATCGACTTCCCCTGTCTAGGCTTGAGCGAGTTGGCAGTACCCCACCCCCATGCTTCCTTCGGATGGTTTGGCAGCGAGACAGCAAAAGGGTGCTACAGCACCCTTTTATGTTTCTTGACCTAGCCTGCATGAACAGGCCGGCCACTACTGTACACTGTTCGGTACTTTAAGTTTGCACAGGACGTCGGAATTCAACAAATTTTGTGTTCGATCATCGCAGTCACAAAAGACATTCGAAGGCAGCAAGGCAGACAGTTCTGAAGACTGTGCTGAAAATGTCTAACGCTTTTAAATAGCCCTTTACATCTGTCTTTTTGAAGGTAGCTGCTCTGTAATTTAATAATAGTGTGAGATTTAGAAACGTCAACAAAAAGACTATTCTGAAGGTGAAGGTAACCTAGGTAGCTAGGCAGACACGCCCCGTACATCTGCTTCACTCTTGTTGGGATGTTTAAATGCGGGCTAATAATCCCGTTGGTTAGTCGCTTGTGACCGAATGACTTAGTCTTCGGGTGCTAACCGGAGGGTTGAGGGATCTGCGGGTATTTTCGAAACTTATTATAACTTATGATTATTATTATTAAAACATAACTTTAACAGCTGCAGTATTTCTCGATGTTTCAGCATAGAATAACCCAACTGAAAAAGGGAATATCGGTTGGAAAGCTCAGTAATTTTGCCATTTAATATAAAAATCTCATATGATAATTTTGTCTTCTAATGTCCGAAAAGTCACTGTGGCATTGCTCGAGTAATTTGCAACCTTTGAGTCACAATAGTTCTCCCACAAAAGGACTGTCGTTTAAAAACGCGAAAACCGACCTATCTATGGTGCTCCACTTCGCTCGTACAAAACCAAATCAATACAGTTAACCTTCTCGACATTTTGGCTCCCGTCAACAAATTTAACCTGTAGCCTTTTGTAACAACTAAAATTTTGACGAAGCTTCTATAGGTCGACAGTTATCTGTAACTTTCATCACTTTGTTGTTTTAGGCTTGCAGTTTGTTGGTCTCTATCCAAGCTAAGATAGAATGAAGTGATTCACCTTTTTCATGCGACTCTAAAACAATCTTGTACTCCGGTGAAAAGGGAACCTAGTTTCCATAAGGAAAACTACTCAAAGGGTTGCTGAAAACTTTTCGACATTTCACGACCGGTTTCGCCCTTCTTGGGGCTCACCAGTTCCCGAGCTTCCGTCAACCTTGTGTTCTACTTGAACCCAGATTGGACTGATTGCCATATACACACTCATTTGCAAATCAACTTGGCTTTCACGGAAAGCTCAAGTGAATCACTCGTTTAATGAACCTTGTCTTTATCAAAAATTTTTTTATTGTATGCACCACTTATTTAGTGTATTGGATATCTTGGATATCTCTTCATATCACTTGCTTGGGATTTCTCCCAAATAGTTTTTCATTCTGAACTTCCGTTTTGACATTTTAAGATGAATGACATCTTGTCTTTCGGGTATCCAAAGTCTTCCGGCAGAAATTGCTAAACAAAAAATGCGGAATTGACCAAATTTTAAGTCAAAAGACCAACAGGTGTCGTAGCAGAAGAAACATTTTGGCGCGGAAAAAATGGATCCCTGGTTACACATGGCCTAAGGTCTATTATCTCGAAGAATCACGTGCAAATATCGAGAACTGGTGTGCAGTACAAATTATATCATCTGAGCAGTATAACAAAACGGGACCCAAGCGCTTCTTTTTAGGAGGTGGACCAACATGGGCAAGGTCCTGTTGGGCGACGTATTAGGCGAAAGAAACTTGGTATTACACGAGATATCACTGGTATCACCTTACCGTAGAAAAAGTGTACATTCCTTAGTAATGTATCATTTCATTTATTTCTTGTTTCTTTCAGCGACATTGTGCAGCGCAATTTCACTGAAGACTATCACAACATGACTCACAAACACCTGACCATCATGGAATGGCTTAGTATGGGCCATTGTGCATCTCTACAATATATCGTGAAAGTGGATGACGACACGTTCGTTGACATATTTCATCTCGTCCGGTTTCTCCGATCCGATCAGCTAAAAACCTCCCCGGGCTTCTATTGTTCGGCTACAAAAGGAGCAAAACCAACTCGTCCGAAGAAAGGTGTCCCGGAAACCAAATGGGTGATTACAAAGGAGGAATTCGACAAAGATGTGTTCCCAGTTTATTGCGAAGGCCTGGGTTACATAGTCGAAGCACGTGTTGCACCGTTTCTATATTTGTGCTCAATGTTCACCCAAACAATATGGATTGATGATGTATACGTAACAGGCATCCTTGCAGAAAAGCTCGGAATCAGTCGGCAAGCGTTTCTGCCCGGACATGCTTATGACCGAGCTGGTCCCAGTAAGCAGTCGGGCGAATTGTTGGATAATATTTTCCTCACTAGCTATCACAGTGAATTTATCCCGGAGACCTTCAGAAGACTTTGGCACAGTGCGGTAGCCATGAGCATGGATCTTGGACCAAACTGAGGATAAAAAACCAATTGCCGCATGCAAAACATTTTGTTCTCTATCCTGACTCCCTTCCTCTTTCGATCAAACAGTGAAACTCACCAAATTATTGCAATCCGATTTTTCAGATTGTCGTACGAATAACATATTATAAGAGCAGAGGGCTTTCACCAACTCTCATTGATGCTAGGGTCACTTGGAACCCACTCCAGTGTTTGTTTACATGAATGAGAGTTTATGACATCTCAGAGAAGGATCGACTTAACGGCAAAACAAGTTCGGGAATTTAGCGAGTAATTTCCTTCCAAATAAAAGGTCAACCTTGCTGGAAAGTTCCTGATCCGTTTGTACCCAACGTGGGAAGTTGCTTCCAAGTGAGAAGTGATTCTAACCAAGTCCATCTTACCGTGTAACAGCAACTGCCTAACACATTAGCACCTCTCAGTAAACGCATTTTAAGTTATGATATTTGGAAAAACAGTAATTCAACATTTCAATAGAGGATAGTTAAGAATTGACTAGAGAAGTCATTCTGGCCACCTATAAGAGATATCTGTCTGTTCGCTGTTTGTTAAACCGGCTAGATTGTGGGATAATATGCATCCACTGATCATATTTTCACACGTAAAAATTCAAATGTGTCCAGCGTGCACTGGTCGAGTCGTTGTAACACGTTCGCCTCAGAGGTCCGATCTACGGCATGGTCAAGGACGTGAGCTACTGATGAGCTCTGATAGAAGCAAAACTCGAGTTCAGTTATTCCCCGTTCGGTGGTGACTCCAACGAGAGTGCTGTGAGCATAAATTCTACAAATCTCACAACCACCTGCAAATGATGCAACAATATATCAATATAGAAGTTTGGTGTACCAATGTGTTCCTCCGTGAGAATTGAAAATTTTGACCTTGTAATGCTTTCTAAACCCCAGTCGCATCATAATAGACGATGAACCACTAACTTTAGTGGCTATCGTGCTGGTTGATTTAATGCAAATTTCACTTCAAGGTCTTACGAGCCTGACGTTCACTCTGACACCCTATCAGCAGATCAGATTAAGACGCTGGTTGTTTTCAAGTATTTTGAAGTGATTTTTTTTTTAAGTTTGGGGGCTGTGAACTAAATTCAGTCGGTTCTCTCTGACGCACATGCACGTAAAATAATTTCCCGCCAAGAAAAGGCCAGCTGATAATGTCACAATTATTTGACGAGCTTTGGAAAAATGATTATTCAGCATGCAAAAGCTTCTCATGAAAAACTTTCCTTTTAAGGGTAAAGCTAACGTGTTACAACACGAAGTGTATCAGCCCAGTACTGTTCACAAAATCTAGTTTATATATCACAGTTTTTATCACAGTATGAAACTATCATTTGAGCTCCGGGAGTATCTAGAAACAGCACAGGAGCAAGGTATTCCTCCTTCCCTCTCAACATAGTCGGTCATTTCACGAGAAGTACTTTAGGTTTGCTGGCTGGGTTCCATCGTAGTCCTCCCGAACCGCTCTGCCTGCAGTACACTCACTTTCTCAAAGATGACCTTGATGAACATTGAAAGACTCACCTGGCCTCTTCTTGACCCATCCAGACCTTACCGAACCTGGTGTTCTGTGAAGTATGTTTTAGCCATGCCTTTGCAGTTTAGAGTGCAGTGTCTTAAGCAGCTCGATCTGAATGGTTGTTCGCGTCATTTTTAGGCAGCCAGTAGTTGAAACAAACCCCTCTTCCCATTGCTGGTACGTCATTTTCATGCAGGAATTCCTCCACATCAGATTTCCTGACAATGTCTACATCCGTTGGTTGCTATTGAGATTCCTTGACATTCACTTGCTAGTTGACAGCTGAGTTCAGAGTACGATGCGACTGGTGTGATTTATGCAAGAGAGTTTGAATAGTGTGGGGTTGAGGCACAACAGAACAGGTGAGAGGTGGAACAGAACATGTGTCCACACCACCCTACAGACACGCTATTCCACGCGTTCGTGACTATGTGTGGTTTAGGTTGTGCGTAACATCGTGTGGGATTTTGTAATTGCAGATTTTTCCTCGTGTCACTAACTACATGAGCTAAGCAAATTGTGTACTCACTTATCTATCCATCCTACAACATTACGCTGCATATATTTGGAGATAATTCGGCAGATCAGTTTGTTACGATGGCCAGTGGTTGGTTCATTGAGTCGGGCAATTTGGTTGCAAAAGTTTAATCAAGAGTCGAGGGGACATCATCATTGGTTCGTGGTCGGAAGTGGCACACGTGGTCCACCAGCATCTAAATGTCTACTTGTTAAGTAACCGAAAGGAAATCAAGAGTGGCTGAGAAACACTGGAGCTGATCACTAAAAACATGGAATGTTTAGAACTCCCCGGACCAAATGGGTGGTTTTTGAGATGAGTAACGGGCACTCATCATGTACAAAATTAAGTTCCAAGCACACACATTTCTAAATCGTCTGAACAGATCCAGACAGATTCATAGAGAACAGAAATGCATAAAAACAAAAGCGGAACATCAACCAAAGCAGCTTCTTCTTGAAATTAATACAATCTATAACAATTCGAACGTACTCCTCCAGGTGCATATATTAAGTATTCTTGAGGCTTTGAGGCCACATAAACAATTTTCGCTGTCAAGACGGCGAGGCCAACATAGATAGCGTTCGAGTGAACATTCATCTGTCTGTAAGAATTAACTAGTTTCATTCACAGACACCAGAAGAAAAAATTAGGATGATCAGACCCTATACTGGGCATCATTCGTAGTTTAGCTGCGACTGTTGAGAATACGCCAGAAGAGCAGTTGCTTCTTTAGGTAAAACCTGCTATGATGAAAGCAACGCCAAATGAAACACAGCTGCGAAGCCACCAACATAGGCTTGGGAAAATAGCAACGAAACATTGAAACGGTAGTACACGAGGATTCTGTAAATTCATAAACTGGGGTGTTATTTTTGGAAATCCTGATACCATTGGGATTATATCCCGAACTTCAGCAGAATCTAACTACCTAGTGTTCTTCAGTGAGTAGTTTTGAGGGCACATTTTATTCTAAAACGCTCCCTGATGAGAGCCAGACATGCAACATCTCATAGGTTTGTCGAACACCAGCATACAGATTATGATAATTTTAACACGTATGAGTGTATTTTGTCACGCTATCCAGCCAATACTTTTACCTTGTGGTCTTCTATCTGGCTTAAGTCAGGTACAATGTACGCTTCATTCGTTCATACGCTATAACTCTGGCGCAACTTCGGTGTACCGCTTGACTGCACTTTTCTAAACGGTAGCATGAAAGAAAATCGATACAACGTAGAGTGAAACTGGGCGAACTGGATTATTAGGTCTGACGGTTGTACTGTACTAAGCTCGGCGATATAGACAATCCGATTAGATTCACTCTTCAGGTGAATTGAAAGGCTTTTGGCGCTTCAGTTTACTATTAACCATGCCAGACATAGCCTTCCCTAAGTCTTCAGAGCCGTCTATTATCACTTGTTGGCCCACGTAACCCTTTCGTTTTCTAGTTCCTAGATTTACACATGCTGAGTGTTTGTTTCTCTTGTCATTTCCTAATGGCTGCTGATGCCGTGTACTGACCGTCAAATCGTTGGGCGATGTACTCCAACGGCGTTAAGGTGAAGTTGTCTGTGCAGCGAGTCCGGGTGCAATTACCCAGTTTATTACTTGATTCAGCCCAAGTCTCTGTACGCCGAGGCTAACATTTGTGACAACTACCGTTATGCGTGGTAGTTCCGACAGCTAAAATCTGCTTTATATCACACTCACCCAGTGTCTTGCAATAAAATTACCTGAACTGAAAAAGTGTAGCAGGGTCGTGCGATAAGGCACCCAGAATGCTGTCGTGAAACAATTGTACGTATGGAGTACGGTAATTTGGCGTAAGGTGATATTATCAAAAAGCTGGTCGGTTTCGTAGGCTACACACGCCTACAAAAAGTGCTTCTATTGGAACAGGTATTCAGGAACTACTTATGACGCGAATATACACTCATCTGCAATTTGGTTTCAAGTAGAACATAATGTTGACAAAAACCCGGGGACTGCGCCTACCCGTGGGCTGCCGATGGATTTCAGCAACCTTATGAGTAGTACATTACAAATATACTTATGACGCTTTTTGCTACGTTTTGTATACTGTTTTTACAAGCATAACTGCCATTTAACCGTTCAGGGTCGAACCGTTAACCGTTCAGCCACTGGCCAGAAGGTCGCGGGTTCGCAACTGAGTTTCGTGGGATGTGTACTGTTGAGTATTCTCAAATAATGAAGCAGCTGCGCGGTGCTTCTAGTCTGTTCAGCATAGAATAGCCTCACTGACAAGACGAAACTTCGATAGTGAGGACTGTTCAGAGATGAATGCCTTCGTTAGGTGTTACGATAACCGAGATATCCCTCTTTTTTCCCTTCACAGCAAACAATCTTGAGTAAAGTGTCCGTTGTTCCCAACATACTAAATGGAGCTGAGCCGGTTTTATCACTCATTCATTGTCTTCACTCTTCGAATGCACTAAAAGTTTCGAATGGATGCTGATCAAAGTCTAAGGTTAACATTAGGGTCACTTAGTACGCCTTTTCATGCTTTTTTCAAAGTTACTTGTTGAATATCCTCTCTCAGAGACATCATCTCAATATGTTACCTGCAGTGATTCATAGCATCCAGTGGCGGGATCTTGTCCGGGCCAACCTAAAGGTTTTCACTCGATAACCCAAGCTAGATAGCTTCTCTCAGTCAGAGCTGCGGCAACAGTTTTAGAGGAACATGAGTTCATCTGACTACTTTGCAAAAACACTGGTGGGTGAGTGAATTTTACCAAAGTCCTGTTGCATCCAATGGCCTTACTAGAAATGAAACGGGAGGCGACACGACAGAATAAAGTTATCCGTTTTATTTTCAGTCCGTTCCCAAAACGCTCGCATCATTGCATTCAGGCAAGAAATACAAGTCTATACGACACGGTACGACTCATGAGATTAGAATCCCAAGCCACTTGAACCGCACTGTAATCTACAATTTTCTTTCACGGCTTTATGGATAGATGGCATCTCCTCATACGATTCACACACAGTATCGTGGTTGGCAGCTAACGGTCGTCATTTTCCAGGATGTGACTTCAAGTGAATCCCCCAGAACTTTCATCATAACCTCAAG